AATTCCCAACAGTGCAGATAATTATTTTTCATCATTTGTTTTTATAAAATTTCCACAATAGACATTACTTTCTATAATGGGGGAGAGGGGGCTCTTTTTTCTAATGGCAGGCTAACCTAACATACTATGATTACTGGATCTAATACATGCATTCACAGCAGAATTTTCTTTAGACATACATACACAATTAGTCTTCCATAAAGTATCATAAAATCACATTCAATCCATCTTTAAAAGTCAATCACTCTTCATGTAGCCTTTATGACTAGCAAAAAAGTAAAGGTAAACACTCTTGTGTTTAAAAAAAACTATGATAACATGTAATTATCTGTAATGCCTATTTCAAAACTTTTAAGACTATTTTGTTTCAAAAAAAAAAAAATCCAGTTAACATCTTTTCTAGACAACTGAGTTAAGAAAACAGTAAATCTGCAATTACTAAATATTTTCATGGAGTTAGCCACAGAAACCACATGCAGCACTGGACAATAACTGAATGACATTATCTGTAGATGTTTTTCATCCAAACTAATGGATATTCGGAAAAAAAGGTGATCCTGTACTAGGCTTCGCAACACTACCCTTGAAAGATTTTAACCAGTCCTTTCACACCACCACCAAAGACATGTTTTTTTCTACAGCCCTACTTCCTTGTTTTGAAAGATCTGTACTGTCAAACTATATTTATTTGCATTTAATTCTCCAAAGGGATAAGAGCATTACTATACCAATTTCGTATTTCCATCCAAAATGTGCAAACTCTGCTTTCTTGGCCCATACAGTCTTATCCCAAATAAACCGTATAATCTCCAAAGATACAGTCAGTCTTGATTATATAGATATAATCTACCATATTGTAGATTATTCACAGTAACTATCACTTACATGATAGCATTAAGGGCTTTAAACACACACACACACACACTCTCTCTCTCTCTCTCTCTCTAATTCTCAAAGTTACTATTATTTTCCCCATTTTAAAGATGAGAAAAGTGATGCACTGTGAGACTAACTAGCTGACCAGCATTATAACACATATCATAATCATATAGAATTTGTAAAAATATTAAAATTATTAATAGCTGAAAATACCAATTAGAAGACTTCCATCATTTGGATGTGCAACAAATGCTTCGCTGGGTTAACCGTTAAGTAATGACTTGGCCATTCAGCTGTGAGGCCCAGTAAGCATGGCAGAGCTGGTAAGGCCATGCAGCCCACAACACAGCATCAGGGTAAGAAATAAAAAAGCCAGCAAGTGGGCATGCAGCAAGGGTTTCAACTCTATCTGAACATTCCAAAAGAATAAGAGAGAATTTAGGACAATCTTAACCTCCGATAACCTCTGAGCCTCTTTTTATCCCTCAATTTATATAATGTTTAATGTTACTAAATCACTGCACAGGAATTATTTTTAAATGTTTACATAACATTTGTAGAATGATAAACATTTTCCTAAACACTTCGCAGGTTTCTGAGAAAGCATTTACACTGAGATTTGTTGTTACACTGACGTCCTTCCCAAACTCACCATTATTCTAGTAATAGAGAATTGATGCTACTAGAAGCAGCCCCCAAGCCCTCTCCGTCAAATGATCTCCCTCCCCTCTCCCAGCTTTTCCACTGCTGACCATCCCACCACCCTGACTTCACATTTCTCAAGTTCTGGTACACACACTGTACACACTGCCATTCCAATGATCTACCCATGTTGAGAGAAATGTCTCAGGATCAGGTGGACTAGCACCACTTCTCAGACTGCTGCTGCTAACAGGACAAACTTTCAGTGGTCTGAGACAAAAAGGGGGTTAAGAGAAGGGATTATATATTCATTTTTAAATGAAACACAAATTATTCAACTTAAAAGATCATCTTTTATTCCCGGGTTGTCCTAACTTATTCTGTGTTAAAATGTGATAATGACCAATGCTTCATTTTCTGTATCGTCCTCACTGGCCAAATAAAAAGTCAGAAACCCAGTCAATCCCTAAACCTAAGGTTAGGGTAACAAACACTAAATCTACTATGTATATATGTAGGGTGGAGGACTAGCCCGGGCAGGAAATAAAGGAATAAAAAACTTTCAGAGGAAGTACATACTTCTACATTTAACAGTGACTACTGGTCCAGTGAACAAGCGCAAGCAAAATGAAACCACAAATTTCAGTATCTTACTCAGAAAAGACTACAAGCACTGAGGCGGATGACAAATTTGACTTTTAAAATGAAAGCAGGCCAAGCGCGGCCTGGCGTGATCCTGGTGGATCACGTCTGTAATCCCAGCACTTTGGGAGGCTGAGGCAGGCAGATCACTTGAGGTCAGGAGTTCGAGAACAGCCTGGCCAATATGGTGAAACCCCGTCTCTACTAAAAATACAAAAATTAGCCGGGCATGGCGGCTGGCGCCTATAATCCCAGCTCCTGAGGAGACTGAGGCAGGAGAATCGCTTGAATCTGGGAGGTGGAGGTTGCAGTGAGCTGAGATCGCGCCATTGCACTCCAGCCTGGACAAGAGTGAAACTCCTTTTCAAAAAAAAAAAAAAAGGTAGGCCAAGAGCAGTGGCTCACACCTGTAATCCCAGCACCTTGGGAGGCCGAGGCAGACACATCACTTGAGGTCAGGAGGTCAATACCAGCCTGACCAACATGGTGAAACTCCTCCATCTCTACTAAAAAAAAAAAAAACACACACACACAAAATTAGTCGGGAATGGTGGCAGGGTGCTATAATCCCGGCTACCTGGGAGGCTGAGGCAGGAGAACTGTTTGAAGCCATGAGGGAGAGGTGGCAGTGAGCCGACATCGCGCCACTGTACCACTGCACTCCATCCTGGGCAATAAAGCGAGAGTCCATCTCAAAAAAAAAAAAGAGTCAAGTTACGTAAAGCACTTAGAACAGTGTCCGGCACTTAGTAAGTGCTTCAGAAGTACTGTCATAAATATCAAAGGACTGGAATGAAAATTATAAAAATTCTGGTAATAAAAACTTCCACAAAGTTATTTAGAAGTACAACTTCTGCTCAGTCATCATTGGAGTATAAATAAAAAGAAAGAAAAGTACAACCATTTTTCCATAAAGTGCATGAAGTTCTGTGTGACATTTCTAGACTTCTTAATTTAAATGAGAAAAAATCACATCAGAAAAAACCTGAATCCAGTTAGAACACCCACTGTAAGACTCCCGATTGTTTGCAAATTTGCTTCCAAAACTCAGGAATGCACTACTCAACTGAGGCCGCATCTGAGAGCACACACCCAATACTTCGCCAATGAAAGAAACTTTCATCTCAGCTGTACACTCAGAGACCAGGATTCCTCGCCTACATGTTGGTAAAACCCAACGACGCATAGCTGAGCAAGTCTTTCACCTAATAGCACATCAAGCTTCTACTGGAAAATTCACACCAAGTGATGCCGTCACCACACAGCATACAGACACAGTATTTGCACTCTTCCTATCCCCTCCCCTGGGATCCAGACTCAGCCTGCTCACTCTGAAAGCTTTCTCAGTTCATCCTGCCATTTGCCCCTTCTCCCAAGCCACCTCTACACCCGGGGGTGAATTATTAAAAAGAACATGTTTATTGATAAATACATCACTTTACTTATTTGCACACAAGTTATCCACTTCCTTGCTACTCAAAGATAGTCCCTTGTCCAGCAGGACGTTATTAGAAATGTACAATATCAAAATGTACCATAGGCCTACTGAACCAGAAAATGCATTTTTAATAAAAGTCCCAAGTGATTCCTACCCACATTAAGGTTTGAGTGTTCTGTGATACTGCAGATAGCTGTACAAATTAAAAATTCTCAAGTTGACAAATGAATTCAGAGATATGGTATGAAAAGTACCAAGACATAGAATCTCAAAACCCCAAAGAGAAAAACCAATATATAAATGAATTTCTTTGCCACCGATAGCAAAGGTTTATTTTTCAACAATACCTGTATTTATTGCTTCCTGCTTTAAATATTTTGTACAAGAGCACACCACTTACAAAGGTTTACAAAAGAATTACTGGGTCTAGAAATTCCAGTGCAATCTGCTCCAAACGTGTGAAACCTGCATGTTAAAATCTTAGGATTTTGTCCAATTCAGAGTTGACAAATGAACTCTTTCCAGAAAGTTATTATTCAAACAAAAAAAAAATCTACAGGATGTTAACTTTAAACACAGATTATATAATTCCTGTAACTAAAGCGAGTAACTAGTATCGAACAAATTCTAGGTCACTTGTAGAATCGAATCTTGTATTGAAGGTCTGTGTCTGTTTTTCCAGGAAAAGTCGGGGTGGGGAGCGGGATTTGCCCTCCCTACGAAGTTTTGTTTTGGCTTTTTTTTTTGTTCTTTTTCTCTCTCATCCTGAAAGACCTCACTTTCTAACGTGTGAATAAACTTAAGTCGTACTAAATCCAGGTCACGGTTCCTTTCCTCAAAAGTGAAGTTAAGACTTCTCTCTTCTAAACACTGTATTTTTTAAGGTTTGAGCATTCCGTGCCCGCTTCGCTTCCGGCCAGGGAAGGAAGCGTGCGTCCCGGGGCCCAAACGAACAGGGAAATTTATCAAGTAGGAAGTTGAGCACTAGTCCAGCCGCCAGGCCCTGCCTTTACTGCAGCTAGCCTTCCAGTCTAGACCCCGACCTCCCGGGGCAGGGAAGGCAAGTAGGCGACAAGCAGCTACCCCGCCCAGCTCACCATGTCCGCCCGGGAGCTGACGGGTCCACCCCTCCCGCCATCCACCCCCAACGCTGACTCCCAGGCGCACAAACGGGGGGCGGTGCGGCAACCGGTCCGCCGCGGCGGCGGCATCCTCAGGCCCTCCCGTGAGGCGGCGGCGGCGGCGGCTGCAGCAGCGGCGCGAGGGGAGGCGAAACGCGTCCTGAGGCTGAGTGGGAGGCCGGGGCGGGAGCGACTGCATGTGGGGCTGCACTGGAGGAAGGCGGAGGCGTTCAGAGGGCTTGGGCTTTTTTACAATCATCATCATTATTTTGTTTTACCTGTGGCGCAGAAGGGCTCCCCAGCTCCTATTCCCTGAATCCTCCTCCTCCTCCCCTCCTCTTTCTCTCTCTCTCTCCCTCAGTCTGCCAGGCGCTCGCGGAAGCGGCCGGGCCAGGCCCGACCTGAAAGAGAACCGGGCGGGAGGGGGTGGCGGCGGTGACCAGCGGCCACGTGACCACGCTCGCGCCGTAACGGCGGCCGCCTCCTGCCGCGCGCCCTCCTAGCGCTCCACCTCTAATAACCCCACAGCCCGCGCGCCTGGGAAGCTCGTGCGCAGGCGCCCTCCCGGGACCTGAAGTCTGCGCGCGAGCGCAACGCGCTCGCTCTTGGATCCGGGTTTCTGGGGCCCGCGAGGCGCGAGGCGCGAGGCGCGAGACGCGAGTAGGTGGAGAGTGAGCCGCGGGCAGAGCTCTCCTTGGCTGAGCCGGCAGGCTGCTGAGCGCATGCGCCTGAGCGCTTTTACTCCTCCCTTCACTCCCTGGTTCCAAGCGGTGCTCGGCTGGAGGCTGGGAACCACCTCCTGGGTCTAAGTCAGAGGTTCACATCCACCAACTACCTTCCCAGGATTGGACTGAGAAAGGGAGCAGAGGGTCCCAGGAACTCTCCTGAGATCCTGGCTGTCCTGCCAAGGAATTTATATTTCCTTGTCACAGGTAAATGGCCTTCCATTCCACATTTTTCTGTAACTGAGTAGGCTTCTAACTCAGCTCATCTGTCACTTTCTCCGTGAAACTTACCCCCCTCTACTTTAGAGGAGTCACTAGCACTTTGTGCAGACCTACCTTGTAGTACAACCCATAGAAAAGATAAAGGTTAGGAGTTATTTTTTCACAAACCCACAATACTAGACTGTGGCTTCTATCTTTATCTCATAACCTTGGACAGGGTCTTGAGTGTTTTATCTCTCTAAAGGTCTGATGACTATCAGAACACAGGTAATGTCTAAAACGTTGTATCGTTGCCCTTGGCCTCTGCATAATCGTGATTTAAGATCCCCTTTAACCCAAGCACGTGGGAAGCTAGTGTTTGTTTCTCCAATATGAAAGCCTTTAAATCGTAATGCTAATTAGAGTGGTAAATGCTTCACTTAGTAAAAGAGATTTATGGTATTTTATTAGCTTATCTTCACAAAGAACTCCAACGAAAATTGATACTGTTTAGTCCAGAAAAGGAAACCAAGTCAGAGAAACGTCAGATTTCTGAAGGTTATCTAGCTTCAGAGGAAGGTGCCTGTGTGAGAGACATTTGTTTGTGGACAAACACCCCACTTCACACGGGGATCCCTCTTTTTCTGTTGCCCCTCTTTCTGTTGCAGAAACTGAACACGTTAAGTTAGTGCCTGTGGCCAGATTTAATCAGGCCAGATTTATTTATTTGTCAAATAAATAAAATGTAAAACCTTCCTAATTGGGAGTTCTGGCTAGACCAGACATCATCACTATTAGACTGGTGAATACTGAGATGACAGTCAGGAAATGGGACTAGCAACAAAATGACAGAAAATCCTGGGATGAATGTATATGAAGAAATAGGATGAACAGGGGCTTCTGAGAAACTAGGAAAATGACAACCCTCAAGATTCCTTTCTCACATGTTTGCAAAGTTGATGGACTCTTTTCTGCATTTACCACTGTATACACCCACGGAGTGATCCCACCTCATAGTTTCAGCTACCACGTAGGTTACGCTAATGGCATCCCATTCTAAATATTCAGCCCAACATTCAGACCCTCTGGTAGGTTATTTTCTTATGGCCCACGATTAACTATGCCTCCCAATATTCATGTCCATGTGTAGTCCTCTCCCTTTGAGTCTGGGCTGGACCTGTCACCTGCCTTAATCAAATACGGCAAAAATTACTCTCTGTCACTTCTAGGCCTAGGCCTTAAAAGGCTTTGCAGGGCCGGGCGCGGTGGCTCACGCCTGTAATCCCAGCACTTTGGGAGGTCGAGGCAGGCAGATCACAAGGTCAGGAGATCGAGACCATCCTGGCTAACACGGTGAAACCCCGTATCTACTAAATTTACAAAAAAGTAGCCGGGCGTGGTGGCACACATCTGTAGTCCCAGCTACTCAGGAGGCTGAGGCAGGAGAATGGCGTGAACCCAGGAGGCAGAGCTTGCAGTGAGCTGAGATCGCGCCACTGCACTCCAGCCTGGGCCACAGAGTGAGGAGTGGTACTCTGAAAAAAAAAAAAAAAAGGCTTTGCAGTGGCAACTTTTAAACTTTACCAGAGACTCATAGGAAACAGAAATAGTTAAGAAATTCCGCCACTTTTTTGTGTTCTCAGAAACCACGGAGACCAATCCTTCTCCATATTACTTAAATTTTGAGACTCCTTGTCCACTTTCTCTGATAAAACTAGTAGATGACCTATGACAAGACCAAACACATACCTTTCCTTTTTTCCTGAACCTGTGGGGAAGGTCAGTCACCTTTCAACTTCCTGTTTGTCTCATGAATGATTAGGATTAGAACTTTTTCCCCCTTGAAATTAGGTAGAGATAAATATTTCCTAGCTGAGAATTCTCTGATTACAAAAATCATCCCAACTGTAATAATCTTACCTGTAACCTGTCTACGCCTCCCTGTGAAAGCATAAGGCCGCCAGGCATAGTGGTATACTGTACTCCCTGTCCTCCCAGCTACTCAGGAGATTGAGGTGGGAAAATTGCTTGAGCCCAGGAGTTTGAGAACAGCCCAGACAACAGCAAAACCATGCTCTAAAATAATAATTAAAGTATAGGGCAAAACCACCCTGCTGAGACACTCTGATCTTCAAATCTGAAGTACTCTCCCTAATGTAATTTCCTGAATGAAGTCTATTTCCTCACCTGTTTGGTTTTTAACTTTGACAGCAGCTATCATTTTTGCCGTTTGTGGGAAGCACCGTGTAAGAAATCCAGCTACTCTGAAACTACCACACTGTGAAGAGTCTAACCAAGCCACCTGGAGAGACCAAATGGAAGAAAACTAAGGCCCCTGGCCAACAGCCGCAGCTGTGCTCCTACTAGCCAGTCAGCACCAGCCTGCCATGCATGTGACTGAGACAGTCTTGGAAGTGGATTTTCCAGCCCTACTCAAGCTGCCGCAGCTGACACCACATGGAACAGAGATGAGCTTTTCTCCCCAGTGCCCAAATAGCAGAATTGTGGGAAAATAAATAAAACAGTTGTTGTATTAAGCCACTAAGTTTTGCTGTGGTTTGTTAGATATCATTAAATAACCAGAATAGACCTATATATTCAGCTGCCTGCTAGAGATGTGTCCCGAGTCGTCTCACAGGTACTTCAAACTCAATCTACTTGAGTTTTTCAAATACGCTTCAAACCTGACCTTTTTCCTGTGTCCTTTCCCCCATACCCCCTGCTGGTTGTGCATTTATTACCCTAATTCCCGAAGCAGAAAACCTGGGAGTGCCCCTTTACTCCTTACCCTGCAATATTCAGTCACCAAGTAATCAGCTTTCTTCTCCAGTCCCCAAAACAATTCTCACCTCAGATCCTCATCATCTCTGTCCTGAACTATGAGGATTAATCAAGTTCTTCCGCATTGCAAAGAAAAGTCACTCAGGCATCTAGACTACCTTAGAGGTTTATTATCAGGCAAGAAGTAAGGAGATGTCGGAAAACAGCCCAGTCATCTCCCATGACCTGCATCCTGATGGTTCCCAGACTAGGAAGCCCAGGTGGCATCATAAAGAGCCACAGCAATGACCCCATCCTTTAGGCTACAACAGTAGCTGTAAGGATCCAGCTTCTCTCAGGCTTCTCACGTTCTTACTCCCCAAGAGACAATCTGAGGGACCTGTTAGTCCCCAGTCAATACAGAGCACCCTGACAAGGCAGAGAGTGGCCTGCAATCTAATTTAGAAAAAAGAAACAAAAGTAATAAAGCTGATGATTAATAACTCCTTAAAATACAAACTTTGTATAAAAATTCATTTTGAGTTTTGTTATAATAGCATTAGAGTTTAAGGTAGAAAAATTAAATGTGAACTAACTTCAGCATTAAAAAAATAATTGTGGCTGGGCGCAGTGGCTCACGCCTGTAATTCCAGCACTTTGGGAGGCCGAGGCAGTCAGATCATGAGGTCAGGAGATCGAAACCATCCTGGATAACACGGTGAAACCCCATCTCTACTAAAAATACACACACACAAAAATTAGCTGGGCATGGTGGTGGGCGCCTGTAGTCCCAGCTACCCAGGAGGCTGAGGCAGAAGAATGATGTGAACCCGGGAGGCGGACCTTGCAGTGAGCCGAGATCACACCGCTGCACTCCAGCCTGGGCGACAGAGTGAGACTCTATCTCAAAATTAAAAAATAAATAAATAATAAAAATTGTGACACTTGGTTTTGCAGCAAGTGTGTGCTTGCTGATTCTCTGCTTCAACATCTATGTGCATTCTCCATCTTGGGACATGGCAGAAAATGAAGCAGAAAATAATGCAAATGTTCTCAAAGTCTCTTGGGAAGGATCGGTTCTCTCCTAGGCCTCTGCCCATGCGGACACTCAGCCTGGGACTACTCTGGTCAGGCCACCATCTACGTACCTTCTCCTGGCTCTTTTCTCCTCCACTCCATTCAACTCACCCAGTTAAATTGGCCATCATTAGATCCTGAAATTGCTATGGTGGCATAGACTAACATGATAATAAGATATACAGCCTACAGTATGGGATTGTCCATTGGGAATTGAAAGAGTTGTGGTAAGCATGTGTGGAGCTGGCATGCTACCCTCTGCATCATCCATGGAAATGCCCGACTCAGATCTCCTGCTGCAAGAAGCATAGTTGACTTTCAGCCCCAGCAGCTGCCCCCTTGGATCCACTACCAACTTCGCACTGAGGCCACACTTCTCCTGGGCTAGTCCCACTCAATGATTGATTGCGGCAGGGGTATTAGTGAAGGCCGAAGGAGGATCCCTCTAACAGGAAGCTTTGGCTCAAGGCTTCCCCAGTGGCATGGCCAAAACTTTCTTTGAACTGTGCCACAGTCTAAAGCTCTTCTTAACAACTCTTCTGTCCTTTTCCCTTAGCTTTCCCAGGTTACAGACCTGCATTGTGGTCTGAAGTCTTCACCTCTGCCCACACACACAGTTCAGCTCCTGCTTTTTTCCCTTTATTGATGTTCTCTCAATAAAGCTTTTGTACACCAAAAGCTTTGATGTAAATGAACAGGAAGTCCCAGAATGGGGTTTCAGTTCAGGTCCTCTGAGAAGCAAATACCACGATGGGACTTACAAAATGAACTGAAACACAACCCCATTCTAGGACTTCCTTTTTCATCCTCAGACTATAGCTACAGGTCACAGTTATTAGTAATATCAAGACATCTAAATTCTTTTAATTCTTTTGGGTTTTGGGTTTTGAAGAACGT